TGTAGTTATATGTATTTCATTTTAAGATTTTGTTGCCTCGCTGCTTGATTCCTTTTAAATCAAACTCGCAGTGACGCAAAAGCATGGCTGAAAATATCATGATTGATAAGGTGATTGGTGAAAGTGGAGTTTCTAATTCAAATGTGACATCACAATCTCAATCAGTTTAATCGAAAGTAAAGAGACAAAGAAAAAAGAGGTCTGTTGCATGGGAATATTTTGACCAAATTATTGATCCAGAAGGAAATCAAAAGGGTGTTTGTAAACATTGCAAAAGAGAATATTTTGCCGATTCAAAAGATAATGGTACGAAATCACTCCTTACACATATGGCCAATTGTACAAAAATGCATTTAGATGTTGCAAAAAGTCAATCAAAAATAGGCTTTAAACCTATTCTGGGGGGTAATAAGGGTGATGTAGCTGTTGTTCCTTGGAAATTTGATCAAGAACAATGTAGGAAGGCTTTGTATCGTATGGTGATCGTTGATGAACTTCCTTTCAGCTTTGTTGAAAAGGAAGGTTTTATGAATTTTATGAAAGTTGCACAACCTTTTTTTCGAATTCCTTCACGTAGAACCGTGACCCGGGACTGTTTTGATCTTTTCAATGAGGAAAAATGTAAGTTGGTGAAGATTTTTAAAGATCAGGGAGTTTGCCTTACCACTGATACTTGGACTTCCTTACAACGAATAAATTATATGTATATTATTGTTCATTGGATTGATAGTGAATGGAAAATGCATAAAGAATTATCAACTTTTGTCCAATTTCTAGTCATAGGGGTGAAGATATGGCAAATAGTATTGTTAATTATTTGAAAGAGTGGGGGTTACAAAAGATTTTCACTTTCACTGTTGATAATGCTAGTTCAAATTATGTGACGGTAAAGGAGCTTTCTAAGAAGTTAACTAAATGGGGGACAAATTCCATAAATGGTAAGCACCTTCACATGAGGTGTATCGCTCATATTATGAATCTTGTTGTTCAAGATGGTATAAAAGAATCAATTGTGTCTATTGAACGTATTAGGCAAGCAGTGAGATATATTAGGCAGTCTCCTACTAGGTGGAAAAAGTTTCAGGAATGTTGTGATGAAGGAAATCTAGTTAGGAAATCTTTATGTTTGGATGTTCCTACAAGGTGGAAATATACATACTTGATGTTGAACAGGGCTATTGAATATGAGAGTGCAATTTTAGAATATGCTGATCATGATATTGGCTTGTCACATCATCTTGAGTTTGTTGATATTGTGGATGAAAGTCCTGCAGGTACACTTTTGAGTAATGATTGGGAGGATGTAATGAAATTGACAAAATTTCTTGAAATCTTTTACAAGCTTACTGTAAAGGTATCTGGCTCACTTTATGTTACATCAAATCATTATTTTCTTGAAATTAGTGAAGTTGTTGTTTACTTGAAACAATTGATATTAAATGAAGATTTTCTTTTGGGTTCAATGGCAAAGAAGATGAAGGAGAAATTTGATAAGTATTGGGGTCATCCAGAAAAAATGAACAGAATGATTTTCATTTCATGTGTTTTGGATCCTCGGTACAAGTTTGATTCTGTTAGTTCTACACTTGCGAAGATGTTCGAAGAGAAAGGGCCAATTATCGCGAAGGGAGTGCATACATACATGACTTCATTATTTGATGAGTATGTAAAGTCTCATTCAAAAGATAAAGGTTGTCATCCTTTTTCATGTTTATCTAACTCTTAATTGGACACAATGGAAACTTCAACTGGATCTTTTGGTTCTTTCTTTGAAGAATTAAAAAGACATAAAGCTGGGATTGGAGGTTCATATTCTAAATCAGAATTGGAAAAATATCTTACATAAGAAGTTGAAAATGAAATAGCAGACGGTAATATATTGCTTTGGTGGAAAGTAAACTCACCTAGATTCCCTATTCTTGCTGAGATGGCTCGGGATGTGTTATCTATTCTTATTTCAAGTGTTGCATCTGAATGTGCATTTGGCACTGGAGGGCGTATTCTTGATTCATTTAGGAGTTCATTGACTCCTAAATTGGTGGAAGTTCTAGTGGGCCTTCAAGATTGGCTTCGAAGTGAGCCATTACCTGTAAGTGTTGAGGAAGATTTAGATGTTCTCAGACAACTAGAACAAAGCAGCAATATTTTAATTTATTTGATTGTATATTATTTTTATAAATAGTTTATTTACTATTTTTGTTGTTTTACTTGTTAATATGTATTCTCATAGATTTTGCCAATCTTGGAAACGAACCCTGCGATGATGATGTGTAGAATCTTAGATAGTTGTAAGTTAAAACTTTGGTAAGTTAATTATTCAACTTATATGACACATAGTATAATTACAAATATTGCTTGACTTAATATATTTTCTTTTTATGTTTAATAGGTGTAACCATGCCTCGACTTTGTGGTCTCAAAGCTATCTCACATGTTTGGAGTCACTATGAAAGGATTGAAGAAGGTGATGATGGATGGTGGAAAGTAAGATGTAGTCATTGTCATCTTGTTTTATGTTACAATGCACGAGAAACCGGTACTAAGTCCTTAATGAGGCATGTTGAACGTTGTTTGGAGCGCAATTTGGTGAAGCCTATAAGGATTGAGTAGTTATTGTGTTGTTTACTTGAATTTGAACTATTAGTATTATGTTTGGACTTTGGACTTGTTAATCTTAATGTTGCTACTACTTTGTATTGTTATTAATGTGTTTGAACTATTACTTTGGAGTTTGGACTGTTTGTAGTATTGAACTATTACTTGAAGTGTTGAACTATTAGTTGAAGTGTTGTTTCTATGTTGAACTATCTGTTTTATAACTATTACTTTGTATTGTTATTCTATTTTATGTTGCACAGAATTAGTGCTTATAGCTTATTGTTGGCATGTTAGTTGAAACCAACAGATAACATGTTCTAGCTGCTTTTAGTTTGAGGAATGGCTGATATCTGAGCAGTTTGAAGCCCAACCAACTTCCGGGCATGCAATTAACATAAGCAAATGATCTTGAGATTGGTTCTTATCCTGTGTGTACTGTGTTTGAATTGTGAGAAATACTATGATGTTCTTTTCAAAGTGCTCAGTATCGATGATGTTAGGAACCAGCTTCCAGTGGAACTTTATGTGAGAAATACTGAATGTAATAGTGAGAAATAGTGTCACAGCTTTGCTAATATATGATTCTTGTACATCGATGGAATCTTGTACGTCTGGAAATCCACTCAGTTATACTGAATGTTAGGAAGCGGCCATATTGTGAGAAATACTGTCACAGCTTTGCTAATATATATCAGCACTCTTAATTTTAGTTTTACCTTATCGGGTAAACCGATAACCTAACCGATAATGATCAATAACCGATTAACCGATAACCAATATCTTATCGGTTTGCTTATCGGTTTATCATATTTATAAACTGATAACCGATAGGCAAAACCGATAATATTCATAACCGAACCGAACCGACCGATGCCCACCCCTAGTCTAAAGAGAACTCACGTAAATCTTGATCCAAGCAACTAGGGATGTCTTGATAAAAACCAAATTGACGATTGAAGCGATGAAGGCTATAAGGCTCCACGACGAAAGTTGATCCATTTCTCAAAGGAAGGTAATTCGAGCGAATACTCATAAAATAATTTGACTCAGACTCTTCCTCGTTACCATCATCACGATAATAATACAGTTGAGAATTACTTGGCATTGTGGAAGTCCATACGGCACTTTCTCCTCCATGAATACGTTTTCTCGTGTCTTCATTCCCAAAGTATCTCGTTGTTCCCTCACCTGAATATATGGCCATCATAGGAGTAGCCGGCCTATTTGTTAGAGAAAAATAAGCCTTGAAGTAACAGGCCAACAAACCATACACAAAATGAATTGGGAAGTAAAATCTAGAAGGATCGAGTGGTGAGCCATTTGAAATTGTGTGTAATCCCCTGTAAATTCTAGCTAAGACTGGAACGACGAGGTTAATTCTTTACCCACACGTTAGAAGGCCTGCAATCTTGAAAGTCTTAGGCCGAATAAAGTCGCCTTCTTTTATAGGGAGTACAAAGACACATAACCAGTATGATAAAAAAGCAGCCAAGTATACTTCGTCTTTCTTGTTACTTCCAACGCCAAGTTTAACAAATAGTGCATCTTCAAATTCCGACCAATTGACCATTAGTAGGGTTGTGTGTTGATTTGGGACGAGCTGACTTCTTTTCTTTTCTCGCTGGAAGTTGTTCATACTATAAAAGCTTTTTGCTCCAAAACTCGATCCATCTTCTTACAGGGACGTTATGATTTTTAGCGTTTCCCTCTCGAGTTTGTGATATGCCTCAAACAGTTGCTGACAGGCTTGTGGAAGGAACATTTTATCCTTGTCGTAAGAACCTGTAAGTTCTCGAGTATTTGGAATAACTTCCTCATAAGGAGACCCCATTAAAGGCAGACCCCCAATAGTGCACAAATCCCAAAGGGATACGGATAACTCTCCAACTGAGGTAAGCAACGTCTTTGTAAGAGGACACCAAGCCTCACAAAAGACTTGCATGATACTTGTAGAATGATTATAAGTAAGCAATGAGGCATAGACAGCATCGTAAATATTGGTGGCCCTCAATGCTCGATGGTTCCTACTAAGAATATCTTTGGTCCACTCCCAATAGCCGGATATAATGAAATTCGCCACCAAAAGTTAAGGAATCACTCTAATATACTTCTCCTTTGAGGATTCGTCGTCCTAATCATGGGAGGGAACTTGCCACATTTTTAACTTTGTGATTATGGGAACAAAAAGTCCATGTCTTGAATTTACGTTTGTTGTTTTCAAAGGTCCAATCTACCAAACAAAATGGATTTTGCAAGGATAGCCACGAAGTTGCATATAAGCTGGTCAGTGGTGTATCAACTAGTAATCTCATCTCCATTTTACTATCCTTGTGCTCTAAAATTACAAGATACTTGGACGTGGAGGAAGAGGATGCTGAGTCTCTAAAGTAAACCATGTTCAATGTTGTGAATAAATTAGTTGCTGACAAGGATGCCTACAAGGAAGACACAAAGGACAATCACATAGGGCTGCAACGTAAGGGTTCTAGAAGAATCATTCATCCAAAAAGGCTAGGAGATTACGTTTGGAGTGGGCGTGGAAATTCACGTGAAGATACACAGAGTTAGTTAGGCAAAAGAATATAAAGCATAGTGAGAGTCAGATTGCAGAGGCACGCAAATATTGTTATGAAGGATGTCAACATTCTCTTCTCTTTCTTCTAATTTCCCATCCCCTTTTTGTTATCCTATCCAATCTTAATTTCATGTTTTCAGTATTTTCATTGATACCAGTAGCTTGAGAGTTATCCCTACGTATTGTGACTATAATTGAGTTCAGTTCTATTAATACTACTGGAGATTTTGGCTACTATTACATTGGTGCTTTCATCCAGAGGTCTTCCATGGATGACCACAAACTCAAGTCTATTGTGGATGAATCTGTTAAGGTGGCAACGGGCTCTTTTGCTAAGGAACTGGAGGACATTCGGTCTCTATTAATGGAGGTGGTGGGACGAAAAATTGATCTCTCCGATGACCATGGCACAACTGCTCCCCCTCTTCGTCATAAACCGGCATCGGTGGAGATAGGACGTTTCCATGGGGAAAACCCAGAAGCTTGGATATTTCAAGAGGACAGATACTTCGACTTATACAAAATAGCAGAGAACCAACGTCTAACAATCGCATCGTTTTATCTCGACAGTGATGCATTGGAGTGGTATCGATGGCTGTTTCGGAACAAGCAACTCGTTGACTGGGAGTATTTTGCTGCGAAGGTGCGAACCCGCTATTACCAGAAGGGACTGGAGTTTGCAGAGGGTCGACTTGCAAAACTCCGGCAGACAACCACCGTCTATGATTTTCAAGCGAGATTTGAGACACTTGCAAACAAAACCGACGACATGACTGATAGCAGAATGGTACGTCTCTTTATTTCTGGGCTTCGTGAGGATATTAAGAATTCGGTTTTGGTCCATAAGCCCAAAAGTTATGAAGAAACTCTTGACTTAGCCCATATCCATGAGCGGCGGATACTTGCTGAAAAAAGTCCGGTCCGACCCGCTTTTGCCAAAACTCCATCCCTGTTACCAACCCCTAATTCAGCACCCCTCACCCTAAGGCCCTCAAATCCTCTCGTCTCAACTGCCCTAATGCACCAAATCGCCCACCTCTCAAACACTTATCTCATGCCGAAATGCAGAGTCGCCGGGAATGGGGGTTGTGCTATTATTGCGAAGAAAAATACACGGCTGGCCATATATGCAAGAACCCACCCCAACTTCTCTTACTCACTAATGAGCACGAAACTGATCCTAATCACCAAGATTCTTTCGTTTCTGATGATTTTCTGGCGAAGGAGCTACAATGCTTAGAATTGCAAGAGCATTCGTCTATTTCGTATCATGCACTGACTGGAGGAATTTCCCCATCCACTCTGCAATTCACTGGTCAGGTTAATGGTTCTTCGGTGCAAGTGTTGGTCGATGGAGGTAGTACACATAATTTTGTCCAGCCTCGAGCTGTTAAACATCTCCGACTCCCTGTTAAGTCTATCCGTCCAATTTCTATCATGGTCGAAAGTGGACAATGACTCCGCTCTGAGGGGGTGGTGCGACAATACTCACTTGAAATTCAGGGGAGTACCTTAAAGGAGGATTTTTATGTTTTGCCTTTCCATGGAGCTGATGTTGTATTGGGAGTGGCATGGCTAGCCTCTCTAGGGCCAGTCCTAACAGATTATGCGAAGAGGATATTCGAATTTACCATGGATGGAACCACCAGAACTTGGCAGGGGGATTGTCCAACAGATGCCCAACCGATACAATTGCATAGTTTGAGGCGTATGGCAGCCACAGATTCTATTGCCTCTTTCTTTCGTCTTGAGAGGGTTACAGAAGAAATTCCTTGTGTCGGGGCACCCACGACTGATTTAGTAGGTCTCTTGGGCGATTATGCTGATGTGTTTCAGAAGCCAACAGGCTTACCACCATCATGTGAGCAAGACCATAGCATACACCTTCACCCCGGGGCACAACCTGTGAATGTGAAGCCCTACAGGTACCCCTATTTTCAAAAGCAAGTTATGGAGCAATTAGTCGCTGAGATGCTCAAGGAAGGAGTTATCAGGCCTAGCACTAGCCCTTTCTCTTTGCCGGTGTTATTGGTCCGCAAGAAAGATGGCACGTGGAGATTTTGTGTTGATTATCGTGCTTTAATGCTATCACTATACGAGATCGTTTCCCAATTCCAACTATTGATGAATTACATGGTGCCCATTATTTCTCCAAATTGGATCTCTTATCAGGATACCATCAAATCAGGGTCAGGCCCGAAGATGTGGCTAAGACGGCTTTCCGCACCCATGATGGGCACTATGAATTTTTAGTAATGCCTTTCGGACTAACCAACGCACCTTCCACCTTCCAAGCTACTATGAATGAGGTATTCCGTCCTTATTTGCGTCACTTTGTGCTGGTATTCTTCGACGACATCTTAGTTTACAGCCATTCTTGGGGTGACCACTTGGAACATCTAGCTATTGTATTACAGCTACTAAGCCAACACCAGCTTGTAGCCAAACAGTCCAAGTGTTTGTTTGGACAGACTTCAGTGGAATATTTGGGTCACATTCTGTCTGCACAAGGTCTAGCTCTAGACCCTGTTAAAATCAAAGCAATTCAGCAATGGCCTCCTCCTCGCTCGGTGAGGGAAGTTCGTAGTTTTCTTGGGCTTGCTGGCTATTACCGACGTTTCATTCACCACTACGCTGCTATAGCTGGGCCTTTATCTGATTTGTTGCGCAAAGATGCTTTCAGATGGACTGATATAGAGCAGCAAGCATTTGATTCTCTAAAGGATAAATTGGGATCCACACCTGTCCTAACCTTGCCGGATTTCAGCCAGGAGTTTCATGTAGAAACAGATGCATCGGGGCATGGAATTGGTGCTATTTTATCACAAAGAGGTCATCCCATTGCGTATTTCAGTCAAAAGCTAAGTCCACGGATGCAAAAAGCTTCAACATATCATAGAGAGATGTTTGCTATTACTCAGGCTGTGAGTAAGTGGAGGCAGTATCTATTGGGGCGTCAATTTACCATCTTCACAGATCAGCAGTCACTAAGGAACCTAACTACGCAAACTATACAAACACCAGAACAACAAAAATGGCTCACAAAGCTAGTGGGCTATGACTTTCGTATTGTATACCGACCTGGGAAGCATAATTCTGCAGCCGATGCACTTTCGCGTCACACAGATGCTACCTTGTTGGTCATTTCAGTCAATACCTTCACACTTGAACAAGAATTGAAACACTTGAATAAGACCCATCCTGAATTGCTGAAGATTCAACAAGCACTAAGCAAGGGAGAGTTGACACATAACACTTACCATTTCAAGGATGGCTTGTTATTCTACAAAGGAAGACTTGTGTTGCCATCGGATTCTGAACTTCGACAGAAGTTAATGTTTGAATTTCATGCCACAGCTATTGGTGGCCATGCAGGAATTGCGTGAACCTATCATCGATTGGCTTCTAATTTCTTTTGGAAGCAGATGCGCAAGGATATCCAGGCATTTGTAGCAGCTTGTCAGATATGCCAACAGATGAAGGATTCACATTTGCATCCCGCGGGTCTACTTCAGCCTTTACCTATTCCGGACCAGGTCTTTGAAGATATTGCGATGGATTTCATAACTTGTCTTCCCAGTTCCAAAGGAAAGACCACTATTATGACTGTGGTGGACCGACTCACCAAGTATGGCCATTTTATACCACTTCCCTCCACCTTTTCAACTCATACTGTTGCTGAAGCTTTTGTGGTGGGGATCATCAGACTCCACGGCCCTCCTCGCACTATTGTGACTGACCGTGATCCTCGTTTTCTCCACTCATTCTGGCAAGAGATCAATCGGCTACCATGGTAAACTTTGGCTATGAGCACTACCACCCACAAACGGATGGGCAGTCGGAGGCTCTCAATAAATGCGTGGAAAAATACTTACGGTGCTATGTGGCTGAGGTGCCTTCTCAGTGGGTGGCTATGCTACCTTGGGCTGAGTACTGGTATAATACTTCTTACCAAACTTCTGCAGGTATGACCCCTTTTCAGGCTTTATATGGGCGTGAACCACCCACCATTACTAGGTATATACTGGGGAGTACTGCTAGCGATATGGTGGAGTCTTACTTGCTTCAACGAGATGAGGTCCTTCAAATATTGAAGAACAACTTATTGAAGGCTCAACATCGTATGAAAACTTTGGCGGACAAGTCGCGCACTGATGTATCCTTTGATGTAGGCGATTGGGTGTTTGTCAAACTTAAGCCTTATAGACAGGCTACTTTACGTTTGCAGCGTGATCATAAGTTGGGTAGGCGATATTTTGGACCTTATAAGGTGCTGAAACGTATTGGTGCTGTTGCTTATAGACTGGAACTCCCTGAAGCTGCCAAGATACACTCTGTTTTTCATGTCTCTATGTTAAAAAGGTGTGTTGGCGATCCTGCCCAGCAGATTACTCCCTTGCGGTTAATGGATTCTGATGCTTCTGAGGATCCTTCTACCTTCAACCTTGAGGACAAGGTTGCTTCACTGGGAGGGAGTAATGTTGTGAATAAATTAGTTGCTGACAAGGATGCTTACAAGGAAGACACAAAGAACAATCACATGGGGCTGCCACGTAAGGGTTCTAGAAGAATCATTCCTCCAAAAAGGCTAGGCGATTACGTTTGGAGTGGGGGTGGAAATTCACGTGAAGATACACAGAGTTAGTTAGGCAAAAGAATATAAAGCATAGTGAGAGTCAGATTGCAGAGGCAGGCAAATATTGTTATGAAGGATGTCAACATTCTCTTCTCTTTCTTCTAATTTCCCATCCCCTTTCTGTTATCCTATCCAATCTTAATTTCATGTTTTCAGTATTTTCATTGATAGTAGTAGCTTGAGAGTTATTCCTACGGATTGTGACTGTAATTGAGTTCAGTTCTATTAATACTACTGGAGATTTTGGTTATTGCTACAATAGCCATCAATAGAAGTCGATGTAGTTAACCTAAAACCAGTCAGGCACAACAAGGAAACCATGAAAAATAACTAGTACTATTATTCTTTTCGTCCCAATTTTACGAGAGTTCATTTGACTAAACTTTAAAAGCTACTTTTTCTGTCTCAAATTATTTATCATGTTTTCTAAAATTAGTTGTCTCAAATAATTTATCGTTTTAGAAGTTTAAGAAAAAATTAATTATTTTTTTCCATTTTACCCTTATAAGAGTAATTGTTCTTGAAGACTACTCCTCAATTATGTCAATAAAGAAAGATTATATTCTAAGACATAAATAAGAGTAAAATCGTCAAAAAACCCTCGTAGGGTATATTTTCTTAAAGGACGTGTAAAAAAAACACGATAGATAATTTGAGATAGAGGGAGTAAATTGAAAAAGATTAACTCAATATTTTAAAACTAAAATCTAAGTATTCCACAAGACTATACAAAAAATAGCATACATTAAAAATCTCCTCATTCAATATGATAAAAAAAATACATTCAAAATATTGGTCAAAGTTAATAAATTTGAATCTCGAAAAGTGAAAAAACGATAAATAATTTGGACCGAGGGATAGTACCAAATAATAAACATATTCATCAAGAGAGTTACCATCCATCTAATATTTCTTCTTCAAATAAAAAACTAAAGTAGGTCTCATGAATTACATCTGATTTCGTCAAGTATTTTTATTGAATTCTTTAAAAGTATGTCACCAAATTATCTTTTTATTTGGGACAAAGGAACCAAAATTTCTTGCCTCATTTTTCCTAGGGGGAGATTCTAATTAAATTTGTAGTAGTAGAAATATTCAAACATTATTTTTTAATCATGTCCAAAGTGGCTCCCAAGCTGCATATACACTGTTATCTTCCAAAAACAGGCTTGTGTTATTTCCATAGTCATTGCTGCTGCTGCTATTTTCTTGATATTCTGATACTTCCATGCAAACTAAGGCAAGCAAATTAGAATTTTGGCATTTTAAATTCAAGATTTCTGCTTGTGCCTTGGCAAATTCTGCTTGAAGCTCACTTATTTGCTTTTGGAATTGGCAAATTACACCAGCACAACCATAAACTGGATCTCTGATTCTGGCATTTGCCTCATACACCATACTATTCACAGCATCTGTTCTTTGTTCCTCTGGTAGCTCCTGAAAATTTAGAGGTTTTCAATATATTCATCAACTTCCAAATATTTCTACTTTTAAAAAAATTAATATAATTAAGATTAAGAAATTATCGATAAATTGAAAGGTGACTTTAATGACAACCTTGATCTATATCAAGAATATTACTCATGATTTCAGCTATTTATTTAGCTATGTGCAAGTGATCAAATAGGATATCTGTGAAAAAAATTCTTTGTTTTTTTTTGTTCACTTGTGTTACAAGAAAATTATTAGCACGTCTGAATTGCAGAAAAATCCGAGCAGAAGAATTTTTTTTTTTTTTTATAATGTGCGTAACACAATAAATCAAACACTATTAAATTTAAAATGAGATGGAAATATAATCTCAATCATTTTGTGTGCGTGTGTGTTGGGGGGGGCGGGGTGGGGGTGGGGTGGGGGTGGAGGTGGGAGGGGAGATCTTGTTAGCTTAGCAAAGTTGATCTTAAAAAGAAGGTATAAACTACTTAACTTTAGATCATGGAAATTATAGTTACGTGTAGAATGTGAAAAAGAATAACGCAAATGATTAAAGAAGTCTCACAACACCTAAAAATGATCAAGTTTAAGTCAAAGAAGAAATGACCAACTAAAAGAAATTAAAGAATCATTATTGCAAATTAAAAAAAAAAAAAAAAAAAAACGAAGGGTGGGGGTGGGGGAGTTGGGGGGGGGGTAGGCAAACATCCAAGACCGCCAAAAACCAAGAAAGTTCAGCTGTGTACTTATATCTATGTTCACATCTCAACACATGGTGAATGAAAGTCATGAAAAGAGTTTTTAACTTTTATAAAACCGATTAGATCACTTAAAAGATAATTATCGGTAAGTGTTTATAAAAACTAAAACTTGTAACCTGAAAGATAGGCAAGATTACCTTCTGCAACATATTAAAATATACTAATAATGTAAAAAAAATTCTTTACACTATATACCTAAAGTTAAAATCCTGCAAAAATCAAGAATGAAGGCAAGATATAAATACCTGCAACATTTTGATGATGTTGCTAGCACCAAAAACTCTATGAGCAATGGTAAATTTAAGGGGATCAGTGGGAGGAAAATAGGGTGCCAATACACATTTGTCAACACATCTCCTGCGTAGTATTTTGCAGGCAGCACAAGGAGTAAGAATAACTGGTGATGGTGGTGAAGGAGGAGCTGATAATATGCTTCTGGGAGATATTAATCCACTACTTTTTGTAGTTGCAGAAACATTATTAGGTGACTTCATTGAGCCTGCACTTAATGAAGAAATGGTGGTTTTGTTATCACTGCATTCCATGATAATTGGGTGGAGGAAATGTAGTTAAGTAATGAACTTTATGTTGAGTCTAAAATGATCACTTTGGTGGGATTTGAGAGTTAGTGTGATGACAATATATATAGAGATAGAAGGAGGAAATTTTCCTAGGGTCCGCTGGGACTTTTTTTTGAAGAGTTTAACTTTTACTATATACTTTACGGTGTAAATAAATTTTTACAGTGTCAAGTCATATTATAGATAATTATAGGAAGATGTTTATAAAAAGTAAAATAGTAACTTGAAAAAATGAGGTATGTTACACGTGTCAACTGGCTGAAATATGTCGGTATTGCAAAAATATAATTATATTGTCAATATATAGAAGATTAAATCCTTTCGGAAAAAAAGTCTAAATTTTTATTGACTGATATCGTGTGAATTTTCGTATGCTATATAAAGTTAAATTGACTTACAACAACACGTCACTTTTGTTAGCAATTATGATATGTAACTTGAATTAAAATAAGATAATAACCTGCTATTGTCGATTGGATTGCAGTGATAGTATTAATTTTTTTTAAATATTATTAGTGTATATAAGTTAAGGTCAATAAAATGTGTTTGGTTGGTTGTTGTTTTCTTGAAATTATGCAAGTGTTCCTAAGAAAAAGTTTTAGAAAAAGTCTCCTTGGGCATTTTTATTCCAAGTTTTTAGAAAAATTTGAGTGACCACAACTTCCTCATTTTTTGAGGAATAATGACGTCATTTTATTTTATCGGTTGACGTAATTTTTAAGGTAAATCACTAACATCCTACTATAGTTTGATCTTGATTTTTCTCAATACATATATTTTAACCAGCATCTGTATTTACATCTTTTTTTGGTCTCAATTATCAAGTTTAATGAGTTGCAGCTTAAAGATTAAAGAGAGGAGAAAGGTTTCTAATTGGATAGATACTTGAAATAAGTCTCGGATAATTTGTATTAGAAAAAGTAGAAATATATCTCATCAAAGAAAAAAAAAAAAAAAGGGTTATAGCATACAAGAATGCTTTAATTGGGTCATCGCATATTTGCCGGCACATTAGCTTTAAACGATCCTTACTAAGGTAATTAAGAGACCAACAACTTTTTAAAACGAAATTCCACTATTTTTTTATTCTTTAGATTTATTTGAGTTTTGAATTATGAGTAATGGTTAAATATCGGACACAAAAATCAAACATATTTTAAATCGTTAGAAGCACTAATGAAGGAGCAAAAGACCAAGAAGTTGTTGATTGACTGATAGTTTTGTAGAATGGATATGAGAAAAATGTAAAAACTTACGGCTATATATATGATATTTATGCTGTACTTATTTATACCAAACCAATAAATATAAGATCACAAGCATCGCACAAACAAATAATTATCGGTTAACTATAGTTAAATGATATATATATTCTCATTTAATATAGTTAGTGACTCTTAAGATTAATTAATTCATTAATTTGATGTAAACACAGATTATGCATGTGTAAGTACTTATTTGAAAAAAAAAAATGGTAAAATTTATAAGGATTGAGATTCAGAATATCGAATAAATCAAGATAAGCGGCAAGAAGGTGAGAGAGAAGAGAATCTCAACCTTAGTTACCACCAAAATTGTGTTGTGTGTGTGGTGTGTGTGGGGGGAGGGGGTGGGGGTAGATATGATTTCTGCGGTCTTAATTAGAGGTTTCAAGTTATAGACTTAGAGTCATGCGAATAAATAAAAAAAGATAGGAAACGCCATTTTCCTTTTATGGGCTTTATGCGACAAAAATAAAATAAAATATTTAAAAATCTCAACCTTAGTCGAAAAAGTGGACCATCTAAATGTCAAAATGCTAAAAAGTGATGGATATCATTTAATATAAAATTTTCCATTATAGAATAAACCAACTTTGATTATTTTACTTATTTGTGAAAGCCTAACTAATAACTATATTTGATTTTCAGCTTTTCTTTATGTAATTCTGTTAGTTCTTTCTTTTAAAAGAAAATGACTATTACCTAATATTCGATCATGTGATATACTATAGTGTTAATGTAAGTCAACAAGACAAGTATTCTCTTTTAAAAAAATGTTGTTTTTTTTTTCTTTTACTACTTTTTAAAGGCTCATGACTCTAGGCGAAATAAAATAATATGTTAAAAAGATTCCACTAGCGTCAGAAATCCAAGAAATTCTGTTTTATTATATACAGAATAATTTAAATTGGTTGTGACGATAATGATATAATACTGAAGACGTCTGAATTTGAATACATATCTGAATATCAAGACGTGTATTAAGATTAAGACATTTAAATCTGGATACACATCTGAATATTAAGATGTGTATTAAGATTAAGACATCTAATCTGGATACACATCTGAATATTAAGATGTGTATTAAGATCTGAATAATAAATGATTAAGAATGTTTGATTTTTAATATCTGAATGTATAACATTTATCTTTATTTAAAAATTAATAACATAAAATTCAAATAAAATATTAATTAATCTAATATTCTATCAATAAAATATATAATTTTTTTAAAATATAGTAGTTGCTGGTGGTGATGGCTAACGGTGGTGCTTGTGTATGCCGACTAGAGGCGGTGGTCAAAGGTAAGTATGGTTGATGGTGGTGGTTCATGGTAATAGTTAGTGGTGATTAGTAGTGGTGGCGATTATGATTGAGGATGGTGGTGGAGAGTGGTGATAGTTAATAATAGCGGGTGGAGGTGATCAGGGCGGAGGTACGTTGAGCCAAGCGGTGTCATCCGACACCGTTTGGCCGGTAATTTAATTTATTAATATGTTTGTAAAAATTTGTAAACGAAAATGTAGTCTAAATACAACAAATGGCGCAACTTGACATAACAACTGTATTGGCCCGTTGGTGAAGCAATCCAGTTTCTACTTGTGGGCCAAGCGTTCAACTCCCCACGGTATTAGCCACTTTTTTCTTAATTTTTTAGTATTTTTATGGAAAATTTTAAAAATAAGCAGCGTCCATTATGCACATATCACTGCCAAGAATAAACAATTCGAAATATACAAACTTCGTAGCTAAAAAGGAGTAATTGAACAAAGTGAGCGGCCATGAAATTGATTAAAACAGATTTTCGAATGGATAATGAGCTATTGAATAAATGTTTGCTGCCTTATATACCAGAAAAAATTATTTAGTAATATTTGTACTAAGTCTATTATGAATACATTTTTAAAAATGAAAGTTCGTCGGGGGAGAGTTGTACTAATATATTTGAATTGTGTTTTTCTAAAATATGTTTTTATTAAAGTGACTCTTCATTTGTATGCATCTTTAAATTTCGACACCGCTTACGAAAAATTCTGCGTACGGCTTTAGTGGTGGTAGTTATGATTGAGGAAGGTTGGGGTGGGCGGTAGTAGTATATAATGATGGGCAGTGCCGGTTATGATTGTTGATGGTGATGGAGTGGTCACTAATGAAAAATTGTCTATGGTAACGCATGGAAAACCGTTCCAGTAGGTAGATAAATCGTTGCCGTATAGATATTGGAACGGTTTACAGACCGTCACATCCGCTCGCGTGCCAATAGAGCTATAGGAACGGTTCTTGGAACGGTTTTCATATCCGTTGCTATAGAGACGTCTATCGCAACGGTTTTCCTTTTCTCTATTGGAACGATTATTCCTTCCAATTGGAACGGTTTAAAACCGTTACTATAATGTGTATGCAACGGCTCATAACCGTTACCATATTATCTAATGCAACACTTTTGTAAGCTATTGTTACGGTTATCTATGGATATAACAACGGTCTCTTTAAGCTATTGTAACAATTGTTTTTGTATCGCTACGGTTTTAAATACCTATTGGAACGGTTTAGAGGGCATTTTGAAACGGTTTACTGGATATATTGGAATGGTTTACATTCTAATGGAACGCCATTTGTGTCCTATTGCAACGGTTATGGTAGACTATTGTAACAGTTCATATAAAACAGAAATATAGCTCCTAT